TGGTTCTACAATATCCTTCAACCATTCTATAACGTTGATTGACCAAGGTCAGGCCATTCAACGTGTCCCAGCATAATGCCGAATTGAAAAAAAACATGTTTTGATATATACTATGTCCTACTAACAGCCATATACCGTGTGAACAATCTGTTCAGCTGACCATCACTCACTTTGAGGTTTGGCCAATGCAAGTCATTCAAAATATGATACAATTTTGATAGCTTATAAACTCCTAACAGGATCATTCACCAAAGTCTTATACTCCCCTGTTTCCATAACAATTACCTTGGTTTTCTGTGGGTAGCTGAAATCAGTTCTGTCATCAGAATAGTTGTATATAGTAGAATTCAACTGAGTGACTAATATTTCAGAATGTTTGACCGTTGCAATGTTTGGTCTGAATTAACATCAATCGGATGATCTTGATCGTTTATTCATTGAAATGAAACATTCATACTTAATCATGATGTCTTAAACAATTTAGGATTTAGTAGTTCTTTGAACAGAAAATTGGTGTTTAAAGCACACATCTTCAGAATGGGACCTTAGTATGAAATCTGACCAAAAGTCATTAAACATATCATAAAACAGAATTTTACTAATTACTGTAATTCGGTGGGAAACAAACTCACTTGTCTTACTTAGATACTAGTGTATATCTGAGCACTACATGTACCATCCTCTGTGTGTTTATGACATGCATAATTGTATCAATGGAATTTCAGTCCAAGTACACAATTATCTAATCCAAACATACGATGAAAGAATAGACATCCAGCGATTCATAACGTTAGGATAGAGATTTTCGGGTCTTCTTCATTGTTTCAATGAGACTGTTTCAGTTATTCAATAGCAAAAGTCCGTTTGTGTTTGAATGAAACAGTTATTTGTGAATTACTAGTATTCGTTTGAAATCTACGTAATGATCTACGAAATCGCAGTCATGTACACAATTCTATATCTGATCAATGATTATGTAAACTTTGAGGTTGTCAAGCAAATGAGTTGTATCTAAGTACATTCGATAGATCATGGAATGTATGCACACACACATACACAAATTCATCTTTCCATCCAACAGATTTTGGGTTGCTTGGAGATTATGAAATCTTAACCATATTTGCCGAAAATATAGATTGGGCATTGAGTAATTTCACTACAAATTAGGACTAACGATTATTTCGTCAGTAGAAGGACATACTACTTTGTATGAATCAAGGTAGTATTTTTCACTTTGTAAAATACATCCATTTACTCATAACAAATATCACTACAATAATTGATGACAAAATGCATCGATTCGGTTTCATTCAAGTTGATTAGGAGGAAAGTACGGGATAATCAAGTAACGTGACTAGTGACAAACTAGTAATATTCAGTGAAACAAGGTTTTCTAAAGTACTTTCGTTCTCAAGAATTGAAGGGTCACTTTGAAAATATCATTACCAGTTAAGATAGGTAGACTAAACCACCAATAACTGAGAACAATAACTCGATGGCAACATTTATCACTACGAAAATAAGTGGTATATATTCTAAGCGAAAGTAGAAAACAAAGGTTCTCAAAAGCGCATATGAAACACTGGCTTACAGTAGGGTCCAGGTGATGCATTTATATTTCATTGAGACTAGTCAGATGGATGTACAGTGATCCAACAACCAACATTCACTTCGGTATTTCAACTCAGAACCTTTCACTTCAAACGTCAATCCATAATCTAACTATCTCCTCAGTCAAGATATCCACTCACTTGTGCATAGATTATGAATTTCAAGTTATTCTTGTGATGATTTGAATGATCTCCTTCCTTCACAAAAGATATTCATCTTGTTGAAATATGATAAACAATACGTACGATTCAAGAGGAAAGTGAAACCCTTTGTCTTCACTAAACATATCATTGGACCATGATTTAAATGCGACCACTTTATTCTTAACCAAATTTATCAAATGGTATTTGAACTAGATTTCTTTACTGAGTTGACTTTAATGAAAACCTAAGTATGACGATAGACATAATTGGTGACTGATTCGTCTCAACAAAATATTTCCTCCTTATATTCATTATAGTTTCCAGGATTCCGATCAGCACATACCCAAGTCATTACAATTTCATTCATTCTCTCTTTAGTGGGTTTTATGTTTCGCATCAAACGTACATTATAAGAAGACGATTAGCTGACGACATTCGACCGATATTTTCTGTATTGTAATGAAGTAATACTGAGAACAACACAACATTTACCTAACGCTTTCTTGAAATCGTAATACATACCCATCTAATCAACACGAATTATTCGACGAACCACAAAAGTAACGATCGTTCTCGACTTTATTACTTACGCCTGTTACTCCTTGTGGAGGAGTATAGCCCGATTACCAGCACTATCCATCCAACCTTGTCATGGGATAGCCTTTCCAGCTCTTTTCAGTTATTTGCCATCCTATTTATATCTGCTTCTATTTCATAAAGTAATATGTTATTCGACCTTCCACTTTTCAACTTCGCTTCAGGATTTCAAGTGATGGCCTGTCTCGTGATAAAGTTTGATGTCTCTTATCCATTTTCATCGTCGTTTCCTAATTTTCCTTTTAGGCTGGAAGCTGGTTTGTTCTCTGTCAAAGTGGTCTGTTGCTGATCCCCTTTGAAGATATTATTATTTCAACTGGACATTTTATGAGAACAGCCACTAAAAACATGAAACTCATAATACTCACACTGATTCACTGTACATGCAGGTTGTACATGATAGTGTGGAAGTTGATTGAAAGAATATTCGATGATTCTAACACAAGATCACTGTATGTTTTTTCTTAGCAACAACCAGCAAAACAAACAAAATAGGACGAAAGGGTCATCCAGAGCTTCCAGGTTTTTCATGGTGGTGATCTAGCTTCAACTGACTCATGATCTTAACCATTGAAATTATTACAATCTTCACAAAACCCCTTCTGATAATAATCAACATATACTCACTAGTGACTGGATACAAGAGGTATATCCTGGAGTTCTTATGAGAAATACTGACCAGTGGAGTTCAACCAAGTTTGTTGTGAGATAGTAACTCACTGAAGACAATGGTGGATGTGTCGCTCAATTTCGTGGATTATTTGAAGTTAGACATTAACACTATTGGATGCCGGCCGACTGGCTCAGTTGTCTAGTGGTTAATTGCTCGCGGTGCGAAACCAGTAGATCCTGGATTTGAATCTCGCAGGCGGCGAGGTTGTGAATGCACACTGCCACTGAGGAGTTCCACAATAATACGAAACGGCCGTTCAGTGCTTCCAGGTTTTCCATGGTGTTGATCTAGCTTCAACTGACTCATGATCTTAACCATTGAAATAATTAAATGCATTTAAAGGTCATTTACATAAATCTACCTTGATGCAGTAACTGTCAATTTGATTAACATTGACTTTTGAAATGATTAGTTCAATAAAATCATTCCAAATTAATTCCTAACTAACCGTCAATTAGTTGAATAAACATCAGATTAAAGTTCAAAAGATTTGTGTTCTAAAGAATATAGATCAATTACTCTATGGTATTCAAACTAGAATTCTACCTAATAACATAAAGTAGTCATGGATAGACGAAGAGTTAACATTAAGCAGCTAATCAGTTATCCACTCAAATTAATCTCCACTTCAATTCCCATAAGAAAATCTGACAGTAGTATATAAGTTGACTGTATATCATTGAATCATGTGAGAAGAAGATGATGATGATGATGATGATGATGATGATGTTGGAGAAGAAGAAGAAGAAGAAGAAGAAGAAGAAGAAGAAGAAGAAGAAGAAGAAGATAGGATTACACGTCAATCGTTCAATATGAGAAAATTGTAGCTTTTATCAAGTATCATGTATAACTTACTATCTATCAATATGTTAAGTGCATTTCTCAATTTATGACTATGTGTACATCAAACATATCACATCTATTCTAGTGTTAGTGTATAATTGTGAAATTAGGTTTATCATTATCATGCCTTATTGAATTCAAAAGGATTATTATTACATAACCATGTTCAATTTATGTGATTCAATCAATGAAATATAATATGGATAATTCTAATAGAGAAAACTATTTTATGTTCTCTAGTTGATGGGATATAGATTGGAGTAAAGGGTATCCTATGCACAACTGTGCCGGTGTACTCTGATTGGCTATTCGTTAACCAATTCACGCTAGTCGATACTTGAAAAACAATCTAGAATCTTCTCATTGTTAAAACTATAAATATATACAAATGTTACTTTGATTATGTTTCTTACTTTCATCTATCGTTATTATTTGGCATCACAAATATGAGGGGGGGGGTTCCTATTTGTAATGAATAAACTTGATAATGAATGACCATTCTTATTTATAGATAATACAATTTTAATATATTTAAGTAATATGAAAAATAAGAAATCAATATTTTTTATTGGTCAAACATGTGTAATTTTGACCTTACCCCACAAATGTCTTAGCACGATCGAGGAGGAACAGGTGTCTACCCCCCCCTTCTGAAATTCTCTCCGATGTCCACGTAGATACAGCCATTGTCAAGGAAGTCCTATTCATTGCCTTTTCGTGGTGGTGGTGGGTGTTATTTACGAAAGTATGAGGATAAAAACTAATTATCCGGTGAATTCACTAGGTTGGTGCGGATGATGGTGGTGATGATGGTGATGGTGGTGACAGAACTAAAAATTCAATATATTTTGTTCACACAAAACATTATCCATTTTACAAATATGTGTCATGTTAATCTAGCCCTACAAATACCCTGTAACGATTGATGGTGGATAGATGTCTGCCCTCTTTTACAAAATGCTCTCCCATATACACGGATATACAGCCATTGTTACGAAAGTTCACCTCAGTGCATTCTAACAACAGGGGTATTGTTTACCGAATTAAAGGAATGGAAAGAGTAAGTCTGTCGCGTTATCCGGGTTGCTGATGATGATGATGGTGGTGGTGGTGGTGGTGGCAATGACAAAAATAAAAAAATTTTAATATTTATTTTATTCATTTTAGTCTTAGTAACACAATTGTTATACAGACTAACTGTACAGAATCACATTGATCAGTTTCCTTTTCTTTTCTACTTCCTCTAATTCATCATCATCATCATCATCATCATTCAAATAGTATCTAATTGTTTAAATCATTCCATTCAATTAAAATATAATTTTAAATATGCTAATTTTCTTTGATATCGTTTACATTCAGTAGTTGTATTAAGCTAAAATGTAAAACAAAAACAACAACAACAACAAAAAATTAGTTTGTTTATAATAATAAGGATCACGTTCATGATCATGATGATCGTGATCATGTTCATGTTCATGATCATGATGATCGTGATCGTGATCATGTTCATGATCATGATGATCGTGATCGTGATCATGTTCATGATCATGATTCACTTACTTTATCTGTATTCATTAATATTGTACTATTGTATTGAATTTTAGGCATATTCACTGGATTTAACATGGTATCCATTTTCCATTGTATATGTTGACCTAATTGTTTGGTTACATCATAAGTACCAACACTTGTTTTTCCATTTCATGTAGAAACAAACAAACAAAAAGAAAGAGAAAAACAATCAAAAGTCTATTTCACTTGAATAATAATAATAATAATAATATCCACATATGCTCACTAGTGACTGGCTACAAGAGGTATATCCTGGAGTTCTAGTGAGAAGTATTGATCAGTGGAGTTCAACCAAGTTTGTTGTGAGATAGTAACTCACTAATGACAATGATGGATGTGTCGCTCAATTTCGTGGATTAGTTGAAGTTAGACATTAACACCGTTGGATGCCGGCCGACTGGCTCAGTAGTCTAGTGGTTAATTGCTCGCGGTGCGAAACCAGTAGATCCTGGATTTGAATCTCGCAGGCGGCGAGGTTGTGAATGCACACTGCCACTGAGGAGTTCCACAATAATACGAAACGGTCGTCCAGTGCTTCCAGGTTTTCCATGGTGTTGATCTAGCTTCAACTGACTCATGATCTTAAACATTGAAATAATATTGATTGATTCATAAATGCAGAATTCTGTATATCCTGATGAATTATGCCATAGTGAATTAATTGAATGTAATGTAAGGTAAAGAAAACGTGTACTTAATTGCCGTAGAGTTAGAGGAGATGAAAAGACATAAAGAGAATAATGAAAAACTAATTATTGAAATGAACATAAGCTCAATAAGAAATATATTCACTTTATTACCATAGCAACAAATAACAAAAATCAATAATTACGTCATCAAATTCTAGCTTTTTCAACAAATAGAAAACTATCTATGAAAGATAACGTTGATATTTAATGAATATATAGTAATTGTGTTTCTTAACCTTAGTACTGCAGTCAATGAGAAGGCATAAGTGTGTGTGTGTTTTTGGGGGGGGGGACTATCAAATGTGTTTGAACATACAAATTACAAAATATTGATCAATTGTCTCAATCTTCATTGTTCCTTTACTATTATACCAATTATTTTCTATTCTTGTTGTTTCCTTCTGATGTCATACATTCTATTCTTGACTAGAGTTATATACTACTATTTATGTTGATATAAGTAGCAGACTATAGTACTATTTTATCACTTAACGACAGATTACCTATAATCATATACCTATATCTGTTGTATGAAATCGAATAGATTAGAGACATAAATACTTGAGACAATCTGAATATTGAATGATAGTAGGATTGTAATTATGATTATGAGTATTCTGTTGTTTGAAAATTATGGTTGCAAAATAGTTTTAGTTTTTGATTGAGATCATGAATTGACTGATGTTAGACCACCGTTGAAAACCTGGAAGCACTGAACGACCGTTTTGGTCCTAGTATGGGACTCCTCAGAGTCAGTGCGCATCCACGATCTCGCTCACGGGATTTTTATCATTTACAATAATGTACTAGCCAAGAGATAATGAAAGACTAAACTATGTTATATGTAATTGTACCTTTTACTTATTATGTTGCTTACCAATAGCATATGATCTATCAATTCTAGTTGGAGATACCACCTACATCAGTTGAAATATCTTCTTCCACATGTTTCGTTTATTACGTTGCTTACCAATAGTGTGTGATCTATCAAGTCTAGTTAAAAATACCACCTACATCATTTAAAACGTCGTCCTTCATGTACTCACTTAATGCGTTGTCGGTCATATCAGTTAACTAATGTTAATAGCCATTCTGAAATATAGAAGTTTATCTGATTCCTAGTTTGTTTTGAACTTCATAAGTCATGTACTTCAAATCCTACGTTTATTCAGAAAACAAGTTCAGTGTTCATACATTACTGAAAAGCAAGTTAAATGAATAAACAATGAAGAGCGGGAATATCTATTCAGTGTACAATTCATTTTTTCAATCAAGAAACTACATTGACATAACTGTTTTGCGAAAAATCTTGAAATATTTTAGTTCAGACATAGATGATGACTGTGTCATTTTGTGTTTGGAACAACTGATTGCTACAACACAATGACTCGGATAATAGAGTATCAAATAAACACACTAGTAATAATGAATTTTATTCATTCCTTGATTGTTAGTGTTTTGACTATTGACTATCGTCTCAATAATCGAATTATTAAGCATTTGAGGTGGGACATGAAGGTTCTATGTTCGACTCCATTTGGTGTCACCACATATTAGGACGAAATAACTCCGTTAAACAATATCACCTCATTTGGTTAATACAACCCATTATTCATATCCAGCCATCTTCACATGTCAAAATATGCTAATTTCTATGCATACTATGAACTATAAAGAAGTATGGGTTAGCATTATGTTATTCAAGTCATGTCATAGTTTCAAGTATCCTTAGATCAATGAAAACCTATTCATAGAAGCAAACCGTTTTAATTATTTACCCAGGAGTTGATACATCAATTAGTGATTTATCTGTTCTAGATGTAGACTGATTAAATGGTATTTTATTTGGTTTAACCGATAAAGATTTGTTCACAAAATCTTGATAAACTCCAGGATCTGGATAATTTGAATTCTACAATTGAAAAGAAAATAAATAAGAACCATGTTTATATAAACACTTTACAATGATTAAAAGAAGATTATGTATTATAAGATCTGATTATGCAGTGTTAATTAAAGCATCATTAATCATATGGCTCATGGATTAACTAAATAAGAAATAGAACTTTAAGTAGTTCAAATGACTAAACAAGATATTCACAATGTATGTTTGAAGGTTATCATAAAAATATCAGACAAAGGTTTTATCAACAATCTTAACTTTGTTTAAGAATAGTATTTCAATTTACCGCTATAACTTGATAATTATTTGCAATGATTGGTAACCTTTAGCAAAATCTAATTATCTCATACTAATCAACTACATATTAGATATAAACATTGTAAACTGTACAGTAACTATTACTCACTGAATTGTACTCTTGAAATGATTCTCGGAAAATATGAAACCAAATGGTATTTCATTGTCATGTAGTACAATTTATTGTAAAGTTTGAAAGTTTTTTCAAGAGTATTTTCAATGTTCGGGATAAATATCACCCGTTGTCGTTTTGATGCAATCTCATATTGATAACTTACTGATGGGAGTGATAGTGAAAGATTCAAATTAAGTGATAATTTAATAAAACAATCAGTTTCTCCGGGAATAGATATTTACATGGTTCATTGTAAACGTCATATCGAATTGATATGAATATATTTCAATATCCATTCAGTAAACTTCTTCTGGTCTGACTATGTTTAACTTTACTTCTGAGTGCATTTTCTGAGTTGTTTATAATATATTACTTCTTCAATAAACAGTCTCATTCTAATCTATAATAGCTATGTTTCAAACATTGGTTGGACCGAAATATCACAAAAATTAACGACTCATTTGTTTGAAAAACGATCAGACCATAATATGTTTTTTTAGGTCTTCAATGACTTGATCCTTTGAATGATGTGTGTGCTTTCATGCTAGTTATAAATCTATGGTGTTATTCAAGTCATCTACATTAATTTTGTTTCACTTAATTATAATGCTTCCAGATTAACTTTACATGAGCCGTGTATAACTCGTTTTTTTTAATCATTGGGAGGAGAACACATAAGTAATATAGTTTACCATTAAAATGATTTCCACTAATTAGTCCGCATATCAAAGCTATACGTCTTTTCACTCACGGATAATCCATACAAACCATTATATTTATTTTTTATTTTTTTGTTTTAACACATAAGTATAGGTACAGGGAGGCACCAAATACATGTGCGCCACACAAATCTCAATTGATTTGTGTGAGGGCTGTGATACTGACCGGGTGCCCAAACCGAAGCAGGTGGTTTTCTTAGGGGGCCACACCCGGAGCCTTTGACCTGAACGTCTGACCCACAAGGCAGTGAAGCATCGTGAGGAGATGCAGTCCCATGGGAGCCGGTGACCAACAATTGGTTCATACGCCATTTGTTCCCGCAGGATACTGGAGCCCATGTGCACCATTGGTTTGGGGTCCGGTTAAAGCGCCGGACATTCGCTTTTCGTCCTCTCATTTTTGTAAATAACACCCCGCCACGAGAAGGCAGTGAGTAGGACTTCTCTGGTAGAGGCTATATACGCGTGACCATGTGAGAGCATTTGCAGAGGGAGAGAGGACTCTCCCCACTCTCGGCCGTACCAGGGCATTTGGGGGCATTACAGACTAGCCAGATCATCAACTGCTGTTATCAACTAATTGATCTTTATTATCTATATTAGTTAAGGTTAGGTGTCGTCAAAAATGTTACTAATCTGTAACTTAATATTATTTTTCTATCACTCAGCCTTGAGCGCAAACAAAGTTGACCTTTTTCATCAACATTGATTGTTTCATTAGTGCCCGGAATAAGAGAGTAAGGAGCAAAGCTAAAAGAATAAAACAATCATATTCCATTCGCAAGTATGTATAATACTTTGTCAATCCGACACTTACACACATGTGATTATTCATTCTACAGGCTGTTCTAGCTCCTAATATATATCCACGAGTACTGATACTCTTCTTATTGAACTTTTCAGCCATTGAAGTCTATAACACATCCAATTTACAGATTCTCAAACAATTAAATTCACTTGAATGTCATAGGTTGTCGGTCCAACAAATCCATTCCTATCTATTGGTGCCAGTGTTATGCCAAGACGATGATGAGGTACATCTTCTGGATAGAGAGAGCGTTTCTGACATGAACCAAATGCATATGCTGTTTTTGTTTCCGCTAGAACTGCTACAACCGAAAAAAGTTATACTGTAGAACGATGTATGTAAATAACTGATCGTCTTGTTTGCGCTAATCCATAGTGAGTTGCTTATAACACCGGCTAAACCCTGAGGTTGACACGATTACAATCACACCTTGTTCAGTAACAAACTTTTTTTATCATATTGTCATTTTGTTTGACAACTACAATACAAAATCTTTGAAAACTCGTAAAATCAGTTCATATGCTTGGAACTGAGTTTTGATTAGTTTTCGACGGATTTGCGATCGAAACCCTCAACGAGTAATTCATTCGCCTCACTGAATTACTACAGTTTATTTAGCACGATTAGTATGAAACAGATTGAATAAGCTAACAAGATTCGAGCTTCAAATCAAATGAAAGTATGTTAGAATTCTTCTCCTACAGGACAGCCAGCAATAGTAAATAAAAAGCAACAAATCAATATAATCAGAAGTAAAGTAGATACACACGATATTATAATGTCCATCGAATATATCAGACGGACATTAGGATGCAACAAATGACTGATAAGATAAATCCCCAACCTATGTAATTATTTGCCGTCAAAGAAGAAACAGATCATTTTGTGATATCTTGATTATTTTCACCCACTTACATTTGAATTAGAAGCCGGAGAATTTATCATTCGATTTCTTGTGTTATGGAACACCAAATTTGGTTTATTAATAAACCAGATTATGTCTGGTTGTCGTTTTAAGTGCGCGTGAAGCGTTTTTTGCAGACCTTTAGTGCCTGACTCTTGAATTTCGCTTTTTATAGACAATTGACTTGGTTGTCCTTCCCCAATCTCTCGAATCTTGTGGAAAATTCGGTCTTTCAGAAATAAGCATGTGCATCCGCTATAGACTGTATACAGTCTACGGTCAGCACGAAAAAGTGAATTGGACTACAATATTCAGACTATCTTATGAATTCTAGTTCCAATTAGTTGTGGAACATAAACGAACGAACTCAATTACAATGTAATATGCATTCGTTGACAATAGAAGTAATTAACTCCAAGGGACTGTTAAGGCTTGAAGAGACATACAGATAATTGAAAAACAACGCAGTGTCTAGGAAACATTTTTGTTCACCTTTAATTTTCTCAATTGCACCTTGGTTGTCTAAATAATTCATAACTTGTGCGACCTTGGAAGTCACGACGACCAATAAGCAACGTCCAAAGTACAATAGTTCCAGACATCTGCAGTAAGTACAGAAGGGCAATCGAGCCATGTTAATCCTCACGATATGAAACACTACAAAGACTCAACATCTTTTTCAGTCTATCAATCGGCACTGCTGGTACAACGTGTTCTGACAGAATGGCACTCTCCGAGAGAAATGGTATACAGATGTAGATTATTTGATCTCAGTTTGTAAGTCTTTTTAGAATCTAACCACGGATGATCGGTCCAAGACTGAATAACAGTATAAGACAAATGATTGTTAACACCATCGTTCAGTATACTATAAGCTGATAATCCAAATGAGTTGAGGCGTGCCATTCTGTATACATAAGATATATCAATAATACTTTCCACCAGTTTGGTCCGTCGCCTTAGAAATTGTCCTGGCATATCCGTCACCTGCACGAAACAAGGATGCGCCATTTGAGTCCGTCATTGCGAACATCACCTCACATTTCTTTCTCAAATTAATGAAATTTCATGCAAATAACCCACAAAACTCTGAAGCCTTATGAAGTGGCAGTCTTGCAGTTACCCGTTGTTTTAAGGTTGTTGATTATAGTGGCTCGTACATCTTCATAGTCCATGACTTTAAGTAACAGAGTTTCGCTTATTGTGAAGTGATATGAATAGTGGAATTTATGAGACTGCATGAACACACTCCTGTCATAACTATCTTTTAGTAACAACCTACACATGTGTTCAACCTGTGAATGCGGCCCGTCCGATATTATATTTCTATCTGACATACTGTGTATAGATCTTTAAATCCTTTTTATCTGAAATGAGTTTGGCAGAATGCTAAGCTACAATTAGAAAAAGAGGTTTTAGTATTAAACCTATGAGAACTCCACATTTATAGATTCCAATGCATGGGTGGCCCAAATAATCCGTACCCTCAGTCTACTAATATTGAGAAGATCACGTAACAAGCTTGTGAAGATATGCATGACAAGCTTATTTTGTAAATAGTTTTTGATGTTATTTGTGTTTATTCTGTCAATTTTTCACTGCCTGTACATTTATCATTAAATGATTGTACGTGTTGACCTTGAACACTTTTCCTCCCTTGTGTTACACTCATAGCATGACACACGCCGTTACCCATTAACAAATACACTGCTATACAGATACCTCTTGTTATCCATTTGCTCGTGATTGTGTCAGATGGACTCTAAATCAACTGCCGTTTACATTTATAGACTACAAACAAATTATATCATATTCTACGTTTGGTTGTATCACTGGAAGGACATCAGTCTTACTGGAATCTTCAATCATCTATAATTGCGGATTTTTGGTACCAAACTCAACCGGAGCAAGCAAAAACCTGCGGAACTAAGTATTGTCTCCAATTATTGTTGTGTTTATAACTATATACTAACATTACTGTTTGTACTTAATAACTTTGTTTTCATTTTTCAGTTCATATTCTATTTGGTCCACCACAATTATCTGGTGAGCCTCGAGCCTATTACAGTTGTTATATTACTTATATTTTTTACTTGACACATTAGTTTATTTTTCACAAAATGTGGTGATCACCGACGTCTAGATAAGCAAACCGTACCAGATAGATACCCAATCCCACACATACACGATTTCGCATTATACTTGCGCGGAAAACATTTCTTTTCCAAACTTGACCTCTTGTGAGCATAACTTGAAATTCCGATGGCACCTGAGGATATCGAAAAAACACCCATCATTACACTTTTTGGTTTGTTTGAATTTTTAAGAATGCCGTTCGAACTGAAAAATGCCTCGCACACGTTCTAACTATTTATGGACGAAGTCACCAGAGGTTTGGATCTTGTATTTACCTATACCGACGATGTTTTGATTGCCAGCTCATCAATCAAAGAGCATGTCCAGCATCTACAGATTCTCTTTGACCGTTTAAAAGGCACGGTGTCATAATCAATCTTTCTAAATGTATATCCGGTGTCTCAGCCTAGGAGTTTCTGGGACATTACATTGACTCTCAAGACATTGAACCACTTCAGAAGAAAGTTGAAGCTATCATCAACCAACCTGAACCAACTTCAGTAAAATCATTATGTAGTTTCCACGGAACGCGTAATTTTTCTCGACGACTTCTACCCAATTGTGCATACGTATTACAACAGTTAACAGACCTGCTAAAAAGTGATAGAAAAGAGACGAAGAAAGAAAATAATCACATATTTAAGTTACCTTTTGATGCCAAAACGGCATTCGAATAAGCAAAGCTCATGATTATCAACACCACTATGTTGCAACATCTAAATACTGACTCCACAACCCACATGATTTAACGTACGGACGAGTCACAAAAAACCGTCGGGGCAGTATTACAACAGCGAGTAAGCAACATGACTACTCCTATAGCGTTCTTCTCCAAGCGACTGTCACCAACTAAAGAACGTTATGGTACTTTCGGACAAGAGCTACTTGCCATTTATTTAGTAGTGAAACACTAATTTTTTTATTTTAAGGGCGTGCATTCACTATTATGACGAATCACAAACCTCTATGTTGTTCATTAAGCACCTCTTAAGATCGACATTCACCACGAGAAGCGTGACAATCGGACTGCATCTATCAATCTACAACAAACATCCAATTTATCAAAGGACATAGTAACGTCCTAGCCGATGCTAAACGAAGTCAGAGGCTCCATTTAAGAGAATATAGTAATAAAGAACAATGAGTTGTGCTGTTTAACATGATGAAGTAAGCTCACATGAAGGAAGGGAAGTCAAAGTGGTACAAAGAAAGCGGTTTATTAGTAGAAAGTATGCATATAAGGGGTGAAGTGTTAAGAATATTAATAACTATATCTTTTACCGTCTAAATTTTATTTCTTTTCTTTTTTGTCCATTCGATGCCAGCCACACAATCCTAGTGTAAAAGTTCGAGTTAGCATGTTATAGGTTGTCTTAGTAGAATAGCTAATCCAGTATACAATTGGAAACATGTGTCTGAGTAGTGGGCGTAGGAAGACAATCTATATCACAGTTTGATTGACTTATGTTCTGCCGCACAAACACTGGTGGATTGAAGTCATCGCCCTCACCATCAATGCTTGCTGGTCAGTAACTCCACCCTCCCTCCTTTTGTGTTGTTAGGCTCATTTAAGCTTATTTTGGATACATGTCATACATCACACAATCCTCTGTTTCACAACCTGTTGGAAAACACTATTTCTATAAGTACCATTTTACAAGCTTATCAGGCATTTACAAATTATGGACTGTGAGTAAGGCATCAATGCAGTGCTTTAATTGACTATAGTATAAAGTATAGTTTGCCAATTAGAGTATAAGCATTAAGAGGGATGTAATGTATGATAGTTTTTTATTAAAGCGGGCGGAAAAGTATAAAAGTATATGGGTTGTAGACAAGGCAACGAGTGGAGAAATAATATTAATTAAGCATAAGTCAATCAATCTGTGATATAGATTGTCTACCTACGCTCACCACTCAGACTCATGTTTCCAATTTTATACTGGATTAGCTATTCTACTAAGACAACCTATAACATGCTAACTCGGACTTTTACACATGTATTGTGTGGCTGGCATCGGATGAAAAAAAAGAAAAAATCAGACAACAAAAGATATAGTTATTAATATTTTCAACACTTCACCCTCTATATGCACACTCCCTTATAATAAACAGCTTTCCCAGTACCAACCTTAACTTCCCCTCCTTCATATGAGCTTACTCCAACTTGTTAAACATCACAATTCATTGTTCTTTATTATAACATCCTCTTAAATGGAGCCTCTGACTTCATTTCATTTTAACAAGAGGTAATATGAATTTAATGTAATTTATTATACATCTGTCTGTTCTACTACGTAATGTTAAGCAACGTTTGGAGTCCATATCCAAGTGCCTTGCTGCTCTGCTGTTTCCCTTTTTTATTTTCTTCAGAATCTTGCTCAGAGGGCACAGATATGGAACTTCTAACGTTTGGAACAAACTCCACTTATGCGTCAACTCAAGGTCATGACTTATGACAAGCTCTCTTTGAGACTACTTCATAACAATTATAAACTTAATAAGTTGAGAAGCATGCAATGCTCCAACAAATGTTGTAATTTGTAGATCATGCCTGTAAAAATGGTGTGTACCTGTTCATGCAGAAATATATTATTATTATTAATTGCTAGTCAACATGGTGTGCAGAAGAGTAAAATGCTAATAAGCAATAAACAAGAAGAGACTCACACTAACTTGGTGCTGATGTGATTTTGTGTTGTCCTAACCAGTTGATGGGTAGCAGGCTCCATAGATGCAGGTCGACTGGTAGTAGGCAGTCGATTGTGCGGTTCTCTTGACTGTTTAAGGTGGTAATGAGTGTCCCTTAGCGACTGAGTTTAGTTGAACAGTATCAATAGGTCCAGTGAGTTACCTGTCTACTTTAAGTGAAGAAATAGAGTGGAAAAAGTAGCTTAAACAACTGCGAAGTAAGAAAAATAGGGCAAACTGAACTTGAAGTCCATTTTGGTTTAGACGTGCAGACAGCCTATGATGTCTGAGTGAGGCACAGATGTGTTCGTACGTGCTAGATCAGTGATAATGAGGGCTTGATGAAGCAGTCTTACAGACGTATGTAATTCATCTGCCATGCGTATTTCGGAGGGAAGACTGTTCTATATTATTGCATACTTGATGAAGGAGAAGTTTACCCGAGTTTTTGATCTGCATTTCTGAACTTTGACCGTAGATACTTTGTTTCAAAGTTCATATTCATGTGAATCTCGGGCAAGAACTATCTTACATGTTGAATAAGTAAGGTTTATGAGTAGTTTGAAGTAGAGAATCAAATTAGATCTAAGTCTTCTTTTCCAAAGGGGTTCAATTCCTAGGATTTTGCATCGGGAACTGTAGTCAACGACTGATTCAGTCTTAAGTATTTTGCGGTTGAAGTCTCGTTGTATTCCTCCCACCTTTAGTATATCAGATAGGCGTAGGTTGGAAAA